TTAAAAATCGTAATAAATTTCAATCATTGAAAATAAAAAGATGAATAATTGAGATTTTATATAAATATTAATAAAGTGATAAAGAAGGTTGAGAGTGAAGAGACAATTTGATTATTCATCAAGCTTACATATATATACAAGTGAGTCCTAATGTTGCCCTATTTAACTCTTACAGAAAAAACTAATAAAACCTAAATATACATAATGTAGAGAATCATTGAGAATTGATAGCCTATGTGATTGAGCCATGATTGAAGAGGTAGTATCCTGTGTTTCCTTAACAAATATAATGTGTAAGTGTAAGTAGATATAAATGTGAGAAGAAATCCACTTATATACAAAATTTACACATTATACTTATATAAAATCTCAACCATTCATTTCTCTATTTTCAATTGTTGAGATTTATCATGGATCCACTTCCTCCACTTTACCCCAAACCCCATTCTGTCCATTATCCAATCAAGGAAAGACCAATCCACACAATCATATGCCTTCTCAAAATCAGCCTTAAAAATAAAATTCTATTGTTTCCTCCGTTTCACATCATCCACAATCTCATTCAACAACAGCACACTATCAACCAATTGCCGACCCCCAACGAAAGCTGATTGTGAATCACTAATTAAATTTGCCATTACAGTCTTCAATCGATTGGCCAATACTTTAGCCAATAGTTTATACAAACACCCAATCAAACAAATAGGTTGATACTCCTTGAAATGTAAAGGATTTAATTTCTTCAATATTAATGCTAAAAATGAAGAATTTAAACCACGCACTAACCTTCCATACTGATGAAAGTCCTTTAAAAAAACCACAAAATCATTCTTCAAAGTGCGCCATATAAACTTTATAAAATTAAAATTAAAATCATCCGGACCTTGTGCCTTTGACCCATCACAACTCTTGAGACCATCTTCTATTTCTTCAATCGAAAAAGGCCTTTCCAGCTACTCCCGTTTTTGCACTGATATTCTGTTTAACTGAATCCCCCCATTAATGGACGGTTCCACTGATCCTTTTGAAACAATTCACTGAAATACCGTACAGCCTCCATTTTAACCAACTCTGGCTTTTCAATCCACCCACCTTCACCTAAGACACCTGATATTGTATTCTGTGCTCTCCTAGCCTGAACACTCCTATGAAAGAAATGGGTATTAGCATCCCCAAGACAAACCCAAGTATTCCTTGATTCCTGTTTCCATACCGTTTCCCTCTTCCTCAAAATATCCCACATCTCCTGAAAACATTCTCTTCTAATTGTCAACTCAGTCTCATTCAACTCTACCTCCTCACTTTTTTTGTCCAACATTTCAATCTGCTTCGACAATTTACCAACCTGAGCCTCCACATTACCAGAAACCCCCTTATTCCATCTTTTAAGATCCTCCTTCAATAACTTCAATTTCTGTTGACATTTGTAACCCGCCCAGCCTTCAATTTGCATCTCTCCATCTATCCTCCACAAAGCCATGAAAATCTGAGTGTTGGTGCCATGCATCAATTGCTCAAAAAGGTTTTGGACCCCAATATGTATTTCTTGAGTTCAAAATAAGTGCACAGTGATCTGAAATTGACCTTCTAACTCCAACTTGAATCCACCTAGTGCTCAATAAACTCATCTATGTAGACAACAAAAATCTATCAAGACTACTCATGGAAGTTCCATCAGTCGTGTACCATGTAAACTTCCTATTCAACAAGCTGACATCAATTAACCCATTACCTTCAACAAATTGATTAAAATCATCCATATCATGAGTTTCTCCCATTCAACCCCTTTTTTCTGCCAAATTTCAAACTGAATTAAAATCCCCTGCTAAAAGCCATCTGTTAAAGCCATCTACCACTGTCAGCTGATATTAAACCACCTAGCTCCACCCACAACGAGGCCTTCGTCTGTCTATCACAGGGAGCATACACATTGACAAAGTTGCACTTTAGCTTCTCATGACCTCATTCACCAGATATCCCAATGAAACCACTACCCTCTATCACACCCTATCTAGCAAAACTGTTCTTATTCCATATGCACAACAAGCCTCCTGAACTAGCCACTGATTTCTGCATTACCCAATCAAAATCTTCTGAATTCCATAAGGTTTTACACATCGAAGCCTCAACCTCTTCCAATTTCGTTTCTTGAAGAAACAAAAAATCAGGATTCTCCTTCCTAACCAACCGAAGAACCTCCTTCCTTTTTAACAAATTACCTAGACCCCTAACATTAAAAGTAATCAACTTCATAATAGAAAATACATACCCACACTCACCAGCATAAACACCGCCCCCAGCTTCAGGCCTTCTCGAAACCGGCTGTATCCCTTTCCTCTAACGATACGAGCCTGGACATCACTTCATCCTGATTATTTTGACATTCAATACGCAATCTTTTCCCCAATTCAAACAACCTTCTCACTTCCTCCAGCTATAATTCCCTTCGAATCAGACGATTTCTGTGTTTTATACAGCCATCGGACAATGAAGCACTAGCTTGCCGAAAATCCTGCCTCGTCTCCCCTCGCAGTAGCTGCTTCCTTCTTTCTTTTCGACTTCTGGTTCGTGCCGTAATCCACCTAATTCCCATCTCCCGTGATTTGCCCGCTTCTCCCTTGCATAAATCTCACCCAAACTATTGTGTTTTTTATAGGGACGCCACCCGACCCACTTTCATCCGGCTGCAATTCATCTCCAAAATCATTTGGCCCAATACTTTCCTCCCTACCCGGCCCATGCTTTGCAAGCCCATTCACATCACACAATCCAGCCGAATCACTCCCCCTGATTTTGCTTGCCTAATTAAAATCACATTTGAATCCTCTGCCGTTACCACAAACTCTTCATCAATATTCCCATCATCCTCGCCTGAAAACCCGGGCACATTTAAGTCATCATCGTAACCGTCATCGGAAAATTTAGAACCTGATTCCGAGCTTGCCGGATTTCATCGTTCCCTGACCAACCACCAGTCCGGATCCATCCTCCATTCTTCCTCTGACATTGCTATCGGAAAAGACTCACCATTCACCACTAAAACAATTCTATTAGCAATTTTGCTCTGCATATCACTCAAAATCAACACTCTACCTTCACTTAAAAACGATTTGCTCTTCGTGTCTTCATTAACGAGTATCACCTCTCCCAATAAAGCTCCTAACTCTGTGAAACATCTCTCACTCCATGCTTTCAATGGAACGCCAGCAAATCTAAGCCATACCATTCTACTTCTTGAAGGCATCGTCGATAGAGAAGTTGGGTGTATCCATTCGAACCATGACTCTACCAAATCACTATTACACTTGAAAAACTCCTCGAGACATCCCTCTATTTAATTCAATGATAAAACTTGTCTACCTCCTAACAAAGCCACATTCACCATTAATCCATTAACATCGAACCTATTCTGGATTGTCATTACCATATCTAACGATCAAACCACGGCAACCATGCTTTTCTTCAACCAAGCAACCTCCTCCTCTGTAGGAGAAAACTGTAAAACCAAATTAGGACTGGAGTGCAACCTCACCACTTCGGTATCCTTTTCTGTCGATGGCTCAACCACCCTATCAGCTATGTTCACTGGCACCACATCTGCCTCTAACAACTGGACATCCTCCTTATCGGGCATAATCTCAATTGCCATTGACCCTTTCTTCATGTCAGATTGCCGTAAATCATTATTCGAAGAGTGTCCTTCCTCAATGGCCACCAACTTTCCAGCCACCACCTGAGCATAAGTGACCCCAGGACTAACCTTTCTATCTATTCTAACCCATTGTTTCTCCTGCTATTTGTTCTTTCCCCCCAATTGCACCTCCCCTCTTTTCACGTTCTCTGCCAACTTGACCTTGAGACGATAGGAATCAATCCATATCTGGTTCAACTTTCTTTCCTTGTCAAATACATTAGAAACCTCGGACATACGAAACAAAACCAAACCTACTACGGCCTCTCTTGTCCCTTCTTCCCGGAGTATACACATCTGCTACTTTTCCATATGACCAAAAACTATACCACAAATCCTTTGCAGTGCGATTTGCCGGCGAATCATAAAAAAATATGTAGTTACCCGCCCTATAAATTGCCTGCCATAACCTGGAAGCTGCCGGCTGAAGCCCTTGCCACTGTCCCTGGCTGTCGAAAACCGCACTCGAAAACCAGCACCCTCTCTTGCTCTCGCTCTCGCCATTCGCTCTAAAAAAAAGGTTGTAATAGATCTTAACTTATATATGTGTTTGTGAGAGATTACTGGATTCACTCAGACATATATATATATGTGTGTGTGAAACATTACTGGAGATCAACTTGTATTGCAAAAATTAGAGGATTAGATTCTAAAACTTGCATTGTTTCCTTACTTCTGACTTTGGGTCAAAGAATGGGTTGGGAACATCAAACGGGCCATTTAGCGTGTAGTCGCGTGTCTCTCCTTTATTGCCAATTTCCGGCAATGGAGTCGTCGGCTTCACCAGTTCTGATTTTTGGTGTCATTTGCTATAGAAAACAATGGAAACTCATTAGATATATCTAAGAATGGAAGCCTACAAGCTTGAAGAGATATTTGCAGAAAAACTCACCGTTTCGCTGCGAAATAATCATGGTGTTACAGTCCAATTCAAAATTAAGGAAAAAGAAGAGAAAGAACCTAGAATCAAGGGAAGAATCAAGAAGAAGGAGAATGCGAGGAGAAGGAAGGAAACCACTTATAGTATATTTCCTCAGATACCCTTAAACTTGATACACTGATATTTTTAGACTCACAAACCAATAATACTTTATTTGGATTGAGGAAGTTGAAGGGAAAGGAAAGAAGAGTGAGGGGGTGAAAGCCACTTTTTTTGTTTGAATAAAAAATTTTAATGGAGAGGAGGGAGATGAAGGGAGACGGAGCCCCCTCCCCTCCTCCGTTTTCAATCCCTCCAATTTGAAGGGATTGAGAGGGATTTCATTATTTAATTTATTTTTGTTTTAAATTTTTTATAAAATAAATA